AGTAGACCGGCAGATCTGATATCATCGCCACTGTGGTGGAATTCAGTCAAGCCACCAACGTTTAAATGATCTAGAAAACACACACGGGACATGTTGGGCCGTTTTTAGGCCATCTTAACGTATTGGCCTAGAAAACCTCAAGTGACCAAAGTTAGGCCATCATGTCGAAATAGCCTAGGATACCAAACAGGTGAAATTACTAGGTTATTTTCACGTGGTGACCTAACTTTTGCAAATTGAGGTTTTCTAGGCCACCATGTTAAAATGCCCTAACATAGCCCTGATGTGTTTCCTAGGTCATTTAAACGTGATGGCCTAACTTTGGTCACTTGAGTTTTCTAGGCCAATACGTTAAGATGGCCTAAAAACGGCCCAACATGTCCCGTGTGTGTTTTCTAGATCATTTAAACGTTGGTGGCTTGACTATTGGGAGTTGATAAATCCAGAAAATTCTAATATTTTTAAGGTTACTGTAGTTGTTGTTGTTGTGAGACCTTAAGCGACGGCCACCAGAAATTCTCTTCCAAAGCTTCAATTTTCTGCACCAGAATAATATTTCGTCTGAAATCCCAAACATTTGCTTTCAGGATACTTTATGCCAAACCGTGCGTTTTTCAAAAACATTGACTCGATTCTTCTTTTCTCCGTATTGGGAACTGTTTGGAATTGTTTCGCCATTGGGGGATCTTTACTGCTTCTATCCAAATACGACATCTTTTCGATTCAATTTTCCACTTTTGAAATTTTCATCTTCGCTTCTCTGGTCTCTGCCAGTGACCCAGTTGCTATCATTGTGGTTTTCGAGGAGATTCATGTGAATGAGTTTTTGTTTATCAATGTTTTTGGAGAAGCTCTTTTCAATGATGCGATCAGTGTGGTAAGCAATATGGAGCACAATTATCGCGGCTTCAATAAGAGATATCAAAATTTTGTCAACTGATAAAATTTTTGTGATAATATTTCCAACATTTTATCAGTTGACAAGATTATGATAACTCTTGCGGAAATTGAGATAATTGAACTCAAAGTTGGAGATATCTTATTGAAGGTTACCGCCAGCTCTCTAAAAAAAGCCCATCATGTACGTGCACTTTGAGTTCAGTTATCTTGGCTCCTGTAAGAGATATCAAAAATCTGTCAACTGATAAAATGTTTGTGATAATACTCCCAACATTTTATCAGTTGATAAAATGTTTGTGATAATACTCCCAACATTTTATCAGTTGATAAAATGTTTGTGATAATACTCCCAACATTTTATCAGTTGACAAGATTATGATATCTCTTGCAGAAATTGAGATAATTGTTCTCAAAGTTGAAAATTACGGTATCTCAAAAAATTGAAAGTTCCAGGTTCTGTACAACATGTTTATCAGCTTCCTAGCAAGGGACCTTACGACTTTGAACTTTTGGGATTATGCATCTCGAGGTCTTTCATTTTTTGTGGTTGCCTCGGGTGGAGTGGCAATTGGAGTAGTGTTTGCTTTTGCAACAAGTCTGGCAACCAAGTGAGTGGACATCCGGACATAATTGTTACAAACAGATCATTTTCAGATACACCCATGGAATAAAAATTGTGGCTCCAGTTCTCATTTTTCTGATTCCCTACATGGGTTATCTGACTGCTGAGATGGTATCATTCTCTGCAATTATTGCGTGAGTTTAAAAAACCTGCAAAAGAAGGGCCCCCATTTTTTGTGCTCAATTATCACAGTTCCTGTGAAAGCTATCAAAAAGATGTCAACTGATGAAACATTTCTGATTTTATAACAAAAATTTTATTAGTTGAAAACTTTTTTGTATCTTTGACAGGAAGCGAGTTAAATTGGCTCAAAGTTAAAAGTGAGAAGGTGTAAGGCGTTCGTCGGTCTTTTGCGGGAACTGTCATAGTTTCTTTTAGAATCAATATTTTCGAACAAACTAAAATAAATGTTCTCTTTCCTCTACGCTCCAAGAGAATATGTTTTTCTGTTTCATCACTTCGAAAGAGGGGTTTGATATTACAAGTTCATTATACATAGGTTTAACGTTCAATTAATAAGGTCGTATGATGGTGATTGTGATATGACATGATAAAGCTATGCTATGATTTGAGCTCAGCTGACAAAACAAGAGACAACTGTGTGTCAAAAACGGGAATATAGATTAGTCTAAACAAAAAACAAAAAACTACTAGTAAATAACAAAGGAGTCGATAGAGAAATGGAACATGATAAGGGTATAAGGTGATAATTCTGAATTTAGTATAAACACAAAACACTAGTTAATCAACAAAAAACTTAAAAGATAATTATTATTCAAAATCTTCGTCGTCCTCCTCGACTCCAATTCCGTTCTCTTGGGGATGCAGACATCCTTGGGCTCTCGGCACACCTGTTGCTCTCATGTGATTGGCTCCTCCTCTCCGGAAAGCGTGATGGGTGGCTCCAGATTTCCCGATTGCCGTGAGCATCTTGGTGGCTAGTGCAGAGATCGACGATTTCGTCAGTTTTCCAGAACCGTCAAGATTCGCGAAAACATACGGGCACTTTCCTCCTGAGTAAATTCTCCATCGACATATAAGAATATCCGCGTCGCTTCCTGGTTTGTAGTTGAAAAACGACGATCGTCCTAGTCTTAACTGGTCGTTCTTGGCCTTCTCCACATGCACCTCAATCATCCCATCTTTTTGTGTCACTCCTTCCCACTTGATTTCGGCGGCTTCCGAAGCTCTCAGCATGACGTGAAAAGAAAAGATTGCCAATAGTGCATCTCGATCTCTGGCCGGAGTAATCTCGTCCATAGCTAATTTGGTGATCTTCTCGACGTCTTGAATAGTCACCTCGACTACAGTCTTCTTGCACTGAACCTCTTCCCTTCTTTTCGACTTTATTACGTCCGAAACGAATGTAGCTCCGATGGCCGAAATTCCTTGGTTTGCAGCTTGATATGCGGCCGATATCTTTGACAGCGCACTGCTTCCGATTCCTCGCTCGATCCACCAAATACAACAAAAAGGAAGACTCATTCAATGGAAGTTTCTTCTTAATTAATCTTAAAGATTCTAGTGGGACTGCTTTGAGCTTGTCCAAATGCGACTGGAATTCTTTCCCTGCTTGTCTCTCGAGCTCTTCAATGAAGTCCTTTTTGGAGCCTTCTGAAAATTATTTTATACACTCTTTTGCCCTTTTCTATTATTCTTTCCCCGGGTGGGCGGGCTGGGACCCTCGTTAAAATTACGTAGAATGGCCTGAAAACTTTGTTTTCGAAAAACATAATATTATAGAACTTGAAAAGAACTACAAAATGATGCTATTTGGAATACTGTATCTTGTCTATGAACAAAGTTACAAGCCAAAAACTGTCCGAGATAAGCGGTCCCAGTTTTTTTTAAAGGTGTTGTAACTTTGCTCATAGACAAGATACAGTATTCTTAATAGTACCATTTTGTAGTGCTTGTCGAGTTCTATAATATCTAATTTAGTTGATTAAAAAATTTTGACTCTAAAAGAAACTATGTCAGGGCTCATAAAGGCCCGCTTTACAACATGGGAGGCGCCCTTCTATTAAAGGTTTCTTTTTTTCACAGAATCGCTGTGTGTGGTATGGTTATGAAGCAATATGTCAAGGGAAATATCACAAACTCAGCCGCCAATTCTGTAAAATATTTCACCAAAATAATATCGCAAACTTCGGAAATTGTAATCTACATGTTCCTGGGACTCTCTACAGTATCTGCGGACCACTACTTTGATGTAGTCTTCATCGCTGCCACTATCTTCTTCACTCTCTTCTACCGTACGATTGGAGTACTTTCCCAGTGCTATTTCTTGAACAAATTTCGCGCTGAGCAATTCAAACTTCAAGATCAATTCATTTTGGCTTATGGAGGACTTAAAGGAGCTATAGCTTATGGTTTAGTCGTATCTATTCCAGCTGCAGTTTCAGCTAAACCAATGTTTATTACAACTACAATTGCGTTAATTTATTTCAACGTCTTCATTCAAGGAATCACAATTCGGCCATTGATAAATCTCCTGAAAATTAAGACGAAGGAGGAGAAGAAAGCTACAATGACCGAGAGTGTTTATAATAAGTATTTGGATTATATGATGGCAGGAATTGAAGATATTGCCGGTCAAAAAGGACATTATAATCTGGTGGCGAGGTTAGTTCAATTTCAATTAAGACTTCTATTTCGGTCGGTCTGTGGTCGGTCGATTGGTTAAATTTTCCGACCGAATGGAAGCATACTTGCAACGGGCCGGGCCGGACTTTTTTCAGAATTTTCAGGGCCCGGCCCGGCCCGTCTCGGCCCGGATTTTCGGAAACTTTTTTTTCTATCTTTTCAAAAATTTTTTTGGGGTCAACAGGAAAAAATGGACGATTTTTCTGACAAGATAAAAATTTTCAAGATAAGAATGTCCAAAAAATAAGTTATTTTACAAAAAAAGTTGAAAAAATTTCTGAAATTTCAAAAAAAAATTCAAATTTAGAGAACCCGGGCCCGCCGGGCCGGGCCCTGATTTTGCAAGTATGAATGGAAGGCTTAAATGCAATATTACATTGGGCAAATTTCAATGAGCGTTTTTCATTTTTCGATAAATTTCATAGATTTTTCCAATTTTTTTTTTCACAAAATATTGGAAAAATTGGAAAAAATCCATAAAAACAATAAAAAGATTGAAAAGTCAATGAAATTCACAGAAAAATAGTAAAAATAGACCGGAAAATGATTACGAAAGCGCATGCTTCTTTGAATGCGCCTTTCAGGATGTCGCTACCGGACCTAAGCTCCGCCCACTCTCGAATTTTTGACCGCACCGCGCATTAAAATTGGACAGTAGGTCTCCTATTTTCAGATTCGAACGTTTCAACTCAAGTGTACTGAAACCCATATTCATGAGACTCCAGAAACGAGAAAAGATTGACTTCACATCTGTCATACGATCTTATGAAAAACTTATTCTGGAAGATGCGCTTGAAAAAATGAAAAGTCGTCAGAATTCAACAGAGATCAGTCTACGTTCTGTAAGTATTCCACATTTTGAATCTCTATAAAAAATAAGAATTCTCAGTTTTTGCAACCCGGAGAAGACATGGAACAACTCTATACACTGTTCGGCGAGTTTTTGAAGGAACGAAGGGATGATGATATTCAGGATGACTATTTTGCTGAAGTGGTAAGTGGAGATTCTGGAAAAAATCTGATAAAATTTGATTAATTCAGCAAGCCCATGAATGTGAAAACTTTGGTTCCGAATTGAAGGAAATTGAGAACAAAGATGCATCTATTGTTTAATTCACTGTTGTTTCAAATTTCCAAATTGTTCTCTCACTTTTTGATGATTAATTTAAAAAGTTCAACAAAAGTCTGGATACATTTTTTCAACGCAAATTTGAGATGCAAGCCAATTCATTCAATAAATTAGGTGATAAAACGTTGGATATGAGTTACATAGATTATACATTCTGGTAATAGGATAGATTCTATCCACGGGTGGCGATGTATCCGATGAGGTCGACAACGCGGTTGGAGTATCCATATTCGTTGTCGTACCAAGAGACAAGCTTCACAAAGTTCGGGTTGAGGGAAATGCAAGCTCCGGCGTCGAAGATGGAGGAATGTGGGTCGGAGACAAAGTCGGTGGACACAACTTGATCCTCGGTGTAGGCGAGGATTCCCTTCATTGGTCCCTCGGCGGCGGCCTTCACAACCTTCTTGATATCATCCATCGAAGCTGGCTTCTCAAGACGAACAGTCAAATCGACAACAGAGACATCTGGGGTTGGAACACGGAAAGCCATTCCGGTGAGTTTTCCGTTGAGCTCTGGGATGACCTTTCCGACGGCCTTAGCAGCTCCAGTAGAGGCTGGGATGATGTTCTGTCCGGCACCACGTCCGTCTCTCCACAGCTTTCCGGATGGTCCATCAACGGTCTTTTGAGTGGCAGTAACGGCATGGACGGTGGTCATGAGGCCTTCGATGATTCCTGGAAAAACGAAAGTTTATTTAACATGAAGAACTGTTTACAAGTCCTTACCAAAATTGTCGTTAACAACCTTGGCCAATGGGGCGAGGCAGTTAGTGGTGCAGGAGGCGTTCGAGATGACGTGGTCATTTGAAGCGTCGTACTTCTCGTGGTTGACTCCTACGACGTACATTGGAGCGTCGGCAGATGGAGCGGAGATGATAACCTTCTTGGCTCCTCCTTGCAAGTGAGCAGAGGCCTTTTCTTTTGTAGTGAAAACTCCGGTCGACTCGACAACGTAATCAGCCTTGACGGATCCCCAAGCGATAGCAGCTGGGTCCTTGCTGTTGAAGACCTTGATCTTGTGAGACGACTTTCCGCCCTTTTGAACGATCAAAAAGTCGCCATCGGAGGAGACGGTTCCCTTGAATTGTCCGTGGGTTGAGTCGTACTTGAAAAGGTAAACCATGTAGTCGATGGTGATGAATGGGTCATTGACGGCGACAACTTGCACGGTGTCCTTCTCAATGGCAGCGCGGAGCACGAGGCGTCCGATTCTTCCGAATCCGTTGATTCCGACGCTAGCCTTCGACATTTTGGGATCACCTGAAAAGCGAGACTTTGAAACTGCACGAGAAAGATAAACGTAAGACTAATTGAGCAAACTTGAGATTTCGAATAATTAAAAAGAACAAGAAGCCAAAAATGTATATGTGAAGAGCTTTGATTGACAAAATTAGGAATTTATAGCTCCGAAATAGGAAAATAACACAAGAAAACTGATGTGATGAAAATTGAGCAAAAATGAACGAAGAATTCTGGAAATTTGCGAAGATGGAGCATTTTTAGAACAGAAGAGCTTCGAAATGACACAATGACTGCTCAAAATGACTCAAAATGGCAGAAGAATTATCAAAACACATCGAAAAATGAAAAAAAAAACCGCCCGCGCCAAAAGTTTGAATGCGTTCGTTGCGAGACCCAAAGAAAATGAACATACAGAATCCTTTAAAATTTTAGCTTCAAAATCGAAAATAACAAAATTGGAAGCAGTTTCAGGCCTGTTAAAATTTTATTTAGTAAATCTGAAATTCTGCTTTGTTTTTTTTCATTATTTCCATACTTATTTTTATCTAGAAAACGTTAAAAAACTAGCCTGAAAAAATTAATTTTATTTTCAAAGTGTGCATTTGTACGCCGCGGTGTTTGCGTCCAATGCGCCAAAAGTTGTTTTTTTCTTTGGCGCGAGTGCGGCAATTTTTGTTTTTTTTTCGCCAGGCTTGCCGGATTTTCTTCATTTTTCTCTTTTTTTGCTGTGTCAATAGGAATTTTCATCAATTTCAATGAAAAAATTTTATCATCTCTCTTCGCTCGTCGGAAAGAATTTTTTTCTGCATTTTTTCCAATAAAAAATCTGTTTCAAAGGAATTAAATTCTTTGCTCCCCCCTCGGAGCCTCTTCCCACTGTCTCCTCACGATATGTGCCGACACATTAAACTGCTAGCTGGGTGTCTGTTTACATAGTCTTGTTTTGTCGTTCGCACCTCACTTTTTCGTTTTGTACATAAAATAGAAATTTTTAAACATTATTTTTTTTACAGTATGATTGCCCCACCAACCAAAGAGGAGATCCTCTCCACCATGAAAGAGGCGAAACCTCTTCTCGCCTTCTACGATGAGCTCTCCAGCGAGGAGAAGTCAAAACTCTACAAGCAACTGTGCACGCTGAACCTCTCCGAAGCACGCCAATGGTTCATCGACTCAGAAGAGCAACGATCGCCATCGTCAGCAGAAGACTTCCGTCCGATTCCACGTTCCCACCACTTCGCTCAAACGGAACTGCACGAGGTGGTATTGGATCAACTTTGGAACAGAGGAGTGGATGCGATTGCCAAGGGAGAAGTTTGCGCTATTGTTCTGGCTGGAGGACAGGCGACACGTCTTGGATCCAGTCAACCGAAAGGAACCATCCCGTTGGGAATCAATGCGGCGTTCGGAGACTCGTTGCTGGGAATTCAAGCGGCCAAGATTGCACTGCTGCAAGCTCTTGCAGGAGAGCGCGATCATCAAACCCCCGGAAAGATCCATTGGGCAGTGATGACGTCGCCAGGAACGGAGCAAGCCACTCGTGAGCACGTTCAGATGTTGGCGAAACACCATGGCTTCGATTTCGACGAGCAAATCACGATTTTCTCACAAGACGAAATCGCCGCGTACGATGAGAAGGGAGAGTTCCTCCTCGGAACGAAGAGCTCTGTTGTTGCTTCTCCGAGTGAGTTTCATTCAAATGTTAGGTGATAAACTAAATTAAATTCCAGACGGCAACGGTGGCTTGTACTCTGCAATCTCCGCCCAACTTCCACGTCTCCGTGCCAAAGGAATCAAGTATTTCCATGTGTATTGTGTGGACAACATCCTTTGCAAAGTCGCCGATCCACATTTCATTGGATTCGCGATTTCGAAAGAAGCCGACGTGGCAACGAAGTGTGTCGCGAAGCAACAAGGAGAACTGGTTGGATCTGTGTGCTTGGATCATGGAAAGCCACGCGTCGTCGAGTATTCCGAGTTGGGAGCAGAGCTTGCCGAGCAGAAGACGTCCGATGGAAAGTATCTCTTCAGTGCTGGATCCATCGCTAACCATTTCTTCACTATGGATTTTATGGATAAGTAAGTGGAAATATTACGAGCTCTCTTTTTTACCCTATTTCTTCTAGAGTGTGCTCTCCATCATCCCGTCTTCCATACCACCGCGCCCACAAGAAAATCGCATTCGTCGACTCGAATGGAGACGTCATCAAGCCAGAAAAGCCGAATGGAATCAAACTCGAGCAGTTCATCTTCGACGTTTTCGAGTTGTCGGAACGCTTTTTCATCTGGGAAGTGACACGAAACGAGGAGTTCTCGCCACTCAAAAACCATCAATCCGTCGGTGTCGACTGTCTGAGCACGTGTCAGAAGGATTTGGCTTGTGAGTTTATAGCTTTTTGTAACTCGAAGAAATTAAATTTTGCTTCCAGACGTCAACGAGTTGTGGCTCAACCGTGCAGGCGCCACTCTGAATTCTTCCAAGCGTCTCTTCCTGAAAACGATGGCCTCCTACAATGGCGAGAATCTGCAGGAGCTTCGCCACCGGGAGATCAACGAACAGAGCATTGAAACCGACCATGTGATCAACAAGTTCTTCGTCAACCATTAGTTTTTTTTTGAGCTCCCCGTTTTATTGTAAACCTGTAAATACATCACTCATCGGGATTCCCCATTTTGCTTTCCTTGTTTTATATTTGTACTGCTTGTGATATATTTATTTATATGCATGAATTGAATCAGAAAAGCTCAAAAATTACCACTCAACAACTATAGGCGCCTCAAAAATGCAGACGTAGAATTGTAGAAAAAAACAACAACCAAATATAAATTAACCATCTTTTCGATTCCTAAAAAATACCAGTTCTTCTGTCTTCTCAACCTAGACAACCAACAAATTTGTGTTTCTTTCTCATTTTGTTTGAAAAAAATGATTGAATGTTCCCAACAAAAAATTTGGTTCACTCTAGCTATCCTGGCAATAATTGTCCTTTACTTTGTGATACCAGAACTCGGTTTGTTCAAAAATGACGAGAAGAAATTGGAGACGAACGTGCCACATTGTATACCTGTGAGTTTTGAGCCAATTTATCTCGGCCCCTGTCGAAGATATCAAAAAGTTGTCAACTAATAAAATTTTTATCGTAATATCAGAATTGTTTTATCAGTTGTCTACTTTCTCATATCTTTAATAAGAACCGAGATATACTGGCTCAAAGTTGATAGTACGGTATCTTTTTTGTGTACTTGTGAGTTTGTAAAAATATATACCGTACTTTGAGCCAATTTATCTCGGTCCCTGTCGAAGATATCAAAAAGTTGTCAACTGATAAAAGGTTTATCATGAAATCAAAAGTTTTTTATCAGTTGAAACAATTTTGATAACTTGCATAGGAATCGAGATAAATTGGCTCGAAATTGACACTACGGTATTTTTTTTCCAACTGTATACATGTGAGTTTCTAAAAATATACCGTAATTTGAGTCAAATTATCTCGGTTACTGTCGATGATATCAAAAAGTTGTAACCTGATAAAATGTTTGAGATATTATGTTAAAAAATTTATCAGTTGACAACTTTTTCATAGCTTTTACTGGAAATGAGATAAATTGCCTCAAGTATTAAGGTGCTTCAGATGAAAAGTTTTTATGTATCTGTTGTTATCAAGAACCGAGATAATTTGACTCAATGTTGACAGTATTGTGTTTGTTTCCAGTTGTTTGATAAAGCCAATGAGATGATAACGGAAGCCATGAACACTTCAAAAATAATTTTACACAGTCCAGAAGTCTACCGTAATATTTCAGCAAGGTGTGAAGAAGCTATTGTTAGTTTTAGTACCCCAAGTTTCATTAAATTTCTCTAGGATTCCAGGAATGTGTCGAAAACTCCTCAACCAGTATGAAATTCTACACCCTAGACGGTAAATATAATCCATGCATGTTTTTTGTCTTCTATCAAGGTCCCTTTGCCACTTGTGCTGATAAGTTGATAGCGAAAGTTGGAGCTCAAATCCCCTGTATCGAGACTGTGTTCCATGATCGGTTTGAGGTAAGTCTTTCTTTAAGCCAATTTATCTTTGTTGCCCTCAGAGGTATGGAAAAGCGGTCCACTGATAAATTGTTTATCATATTATCACAAACATTTCATCAGTTGACACATTTTCGGTATCTCTTACAGGATTTGAGATAATTGAGCTCAAACTTGACAGTGTGCTGTTCTTCCATTACAGGGTTTACAGTACGTAAACACTCTAATAGAACTCTCCCTATGCTCGAATTTTGAGCTCTATTATCTCGGTTCCTGTCAAAGCTATAAGAAAGTTGTCAACTAATAAATTGTTTATCATATTATCACAAACATTTTATCAATTAATACATGTTTGATATCTCTTGTAGGAATCGAGATAAGTAGGCTCAAACTTGACAGGTATCTCTTTTCAGAACAAAACCGAAAAATGTGAAGCATGGAATAAGTCTCGTCCTTGTATCGTAAGGTCAATTCTCAATTCTTGTGAAACCGAGAGATTAGGAAATGGAAAAAAACAAGGAAAGCCAGATTTCTATGCTGAAATGTATAATTTCACTCCTGCCTTGTGTATTGATCAATAAACTTTTTTGTTTGTTACATTGTTGTCACCCTACGTCTCCCTATTCTGATCTTTAGTCTAATCGAACACTTGTTTCTTCTTTAAATAGAAGAAAACAACCGATGCGGTACTTCTTTTCAATTTGAACATTGCCTAACAATGTTCGAATGCAGTCGAAAAACACTATTGATTATTGGAGGAGTATCCGCTAACTTAATAATCTTATCGATAGTAATTTCAACTGATATTTTGGCTACATCTCGACTTTATTGGACACACAAAGTCTCAAACTTGAAAAGCTTTAAAGGTGGTATCCGGTGAAATTTTTTATTGCATCAAAATGTGCAGAAATGCATGTGTAGATTGACATAAAAATAAAGAAAAAATTCAAAAAAAATTCCTTCATCGAGAAAAACGCATCGAAAACTACGCTGAAAGCCCTTAGGGACGAGCTTTTTTTCTAGGCCGCCCGGTGAGTAAAAGCGCGCGAATTCGAACTTTTAAAATTTTTCCGCTCTTTCTCACTGTTTTTTTCAAATTTTCCGATGTATCTGGAAGAAAAATTGACAAAA